GCCAGCATTGCCTCTGCTGGGAGCTTTTCTGCAGGTTCGGTGAGCAAAAGCGGCTCCCCGAGGCAGCAGTGCCTGGTGGGGTCGCAGGGCAGCTGGGGAGCACGGGGGCAGTGGGAGCACAGGTGCCTGTCGGCCAGGGTGCACCAACCCCATGGCTGGCGCTGCACTGAGACATGGTGTTCCCAGCCCCTCGTGGTCCACAAGGATGTAGGCTGGGCACCCGGCTCAGCTGGAGCTGGTTTATAATTTCCATTAACAATGGAAACGACATGCCCAGGCTTTGGGGGTGCACAGAGGTGGGGACAGCCACTCTTAGGGTCGGTGTTGTCACTTGAAGGGAGGGGGTGGCTGTCAGGGTCTGCAGAGGGGCGGCACTCCTTGGGAAGCGAGCGTGGTCTCTGCCTGGGGCAGACATGTGGGGCAGAGGAGCCGGGTCCTGGCTGCTGGCAGGGCGATGATGTCCCCGTGACAGGAGGTGCCATGAGGGAGCACTGACGGTGCCTGTCCTTCCCTTGCAGCTCAAGGGCTGTGGAGGATGTGGAATCCCAACCCAGGTGAGCAGCCACGGGACTGGGCAAGGCTCTGGGTACTACACAGACATTGGGGCTCGGAGAGGGGCTCAGTGCAATCGCCACGGGCACCCAGGGGGTTTACCTGCATACCAAAGGGGAGTGGGGCATCATTTGTGAAGAAGGGGTAGACTGGGAGGGTCCTTTGGGTGCATGGGTGCACCAACTCCCTGCATTGCCTGTTTGGGGAGAGCCTGGCTCTGCTCACTAACAGTCCTCCTCTTCTTTCTAGGTGCGCCCGGGGGGGTGCCACCACCGCAAGTGCAAATTTGCCCACCTGCCCCTCCAGGATACCCTGGTCCCGGCACTCCAGCAGGTCCCTACCCTGGCTACCCTCCAGTGATGCCCGGCGCCCCTGGAGCCTATCCCCCCGCACCCCCAGGCGGCTATCCCTGTGGTCCCCCTCCGTCTGGCCCCTACCCGCCGGGGCAGCACCCCCATGGGTACCCTCCGCCGGGACATCATCCCCATGGGCACCCCTATCCGGGACCACCGGGAATGCCGGGATGCCCACCATGCCCCCCTGACAGCCATCACAAGCACCATAAGAAGCACAAGAAGAAGCACTCCAAGCACCACGGAGGCAAGGTAAGAGTGAGGCGGCAGCGGACCCTTCCAAATCATTGCTGTGGTCCTTTGGATCCCCTCACACATGCCACAGCATCCAGCCTGGGCAGCTGGGGCTCCTGTCTTCCACCCTGCGGCAGCTGGATGGGCTGCCAACACCTCAGTGGCTTTTTTTTAGATGTGGAGACTCCCATTTGGTTAATAAATAGGCAAGCATGAGTCATTTCAAGCGAGTCTTTTGAAACATGAGCCATTAAATTCCTTGAAGCCATTTGAAACAGTGACACAGCTCAGGGTGCACTGTGCAGCGTATTAAATCCCAGGACTTTGTCCTGCTCACCCGAGAGCGAGTTGTGCCTCTGTAAGGGACATTCACTCAGTGTCCTGCAGCAGAGGAGCAGTTCAGTTCCCTCTTAAAAGAAAACAAAACAAAAACCCCAAACAAAAAAAGAAAAGCAATTCTTTGTGCCAGGAGTAGATGCTGCAGAAAATACCATTCCAGGGGTAGGCACCATCCAGATTAGGTCTGAGTGAGGGACTGCTAAACAAAACCCCAGCTCCACCGTTGGAGGTAGGAGCATTTCCCAAACAAAGCAAACCATCAGCTCCTCTTACTGCGTAAGGGCTCTGAAAGTGATCTGCCTTAATGTTTGCCCTCACTGACAGAGAGCAGGACCCTTCTGGAGTTTGCTTAATTGGCCTGAACAGCCTTGTAATAATAATAATTAAAAAAACAGCCCTCCCATGATATGCCTGTAATTATAGTCTCCAAGCAGAAAAATAATAGCTCCAAACTCTAAAACGTATTTTGTAACAGCATTGCAATAAACATCATGGTGATGTTATTAGTAGCCATTTTATCTTCAAGTCAAGGTATTCTGGCCAGGGTTTGCTGTCTGAGGCTGTGGTGCTGTGCTGACTCCCATGCAGGCTCACCCTCTGCATGGCCCCCAGCTTGCAATCCTGCCAGCGTACAAACCTGAGGGCACCCCTTTTGCGGGTGTGCAAAGACACCTGGGGAGAGGTGGGTCTGCAGCCACCAATGCTGCAGGCTCAACCAGGACCCAGCTGGGCACTGGGAACGGGTACCCACCACAGGATCGCTAAGACCTATTAGAAATGGTGTGAAAGAGGGTTGTTTCTGTGCTACCCTAAAGTTGTTTTATCTCCTCCAGCACTCCAGCAGCTCAAGCAGCAGTTCTGACTCTGACTGAAGAGGACACCTCCCACCCTCACAGAGGTGAAGCAATGAAATGTGAAGCCAAATGCCCCATGGCAACCACCTGCATGTTGCTCCACTCCTTTCCCCTTTCTCTTAGAGCGACATTTTGCTTGCTGAGCGGTTTTCTTGTTTTTAGCTTGTAAATTCTTTGACCTGGAATCACTGTGAGACGATGGGCAACAGCTCTGTCCTCTGTCTTTTGGGAAAGCCCACTGAAAGTCATCCCTGAGGCTTCAGGTAGTGGCGTGGGGAGTATCATGTGACGGTTTGCAGTCTGCTGGTGTCTGCGTGGTTTTTCCTGTGCAATGATGCTGGTTGCTATCGTGGATCTCACCACCTGTAGAAGTCCTTACATTTTGCATGTAGCTTTCCTGGCTGTAGCAGAGGGGCTGGCCGGGGAATGCCATAACTTTCTCCTTGCTGAGCTGTATGGGTTGCCATCCTCCATGCCAGGGTAGTAATTAATATGAAAAAGTAGCAAGCTCTTATTCTGAAGCCCCTGAACCATGGCCATGGGACTGCGACGTGCTCACTAGAAAAGGTGAAAAGCCTGGCAGTGCTTTCACCACAACAATTTTAACACACGGCTGCTTTTGCTGCTGTTTTATCTTTGTTTTGCACATCGTCATGGCTCAAGAGGAGCCCTCCCAGCCCTGTTGTTAAGAAGGCTTTGCTGCTAGCCAATGTGACTGGTTGCTGGACCCCATGGCACAAACACGAGCAGCTCGCTGTGGCAGAGGGAATCTCCAAGAGGTGGCGCAGCCCCTCTCACCCACATTTACTGCCAGTGCAGCCTTGTTCATTCTTGTTGCACTGCTGGGGCAGTGGGATTTCACTCCTGTGGCTCCTCTCTGGATGCAGTTGTGTTTTGTCCTGCGGCCCTCTAAGCTCCCCTATAGGTCTCCTTTCCAAAAGAGGGAAAACATGGCAGTGACACTGCAGCATGCATGGCCACAGCTCCACACCACCGTGCCCTTCCCTGCACCTGCACTGCTGGCTCCTCTGCACCCTGCGCCTGGGGTCCCCTACAGACAACCCAAGCCCTGCCCAGGCTCTCATCCCCATCCCACATCCACCACCATGGATGCGACCTTACGGAAATGCCCCTGTCCTTGGAGGGTTCCCCTGCCCCACTGTCCTGGCTTGAGACACCCAAGTGTTGGATGCAAGAGGGGCTGAAGAAAGAGTGGGGAAAGCCTGACTCAAGTGCAATGCCACCTTCTTGGTGGGGAAAGGCACAGTCCCCCTCAAAGAGGGGCAACTGAAGACCCCCGCTCTCCTCACCCATGAACAGGTGAGGAACATGAAGCAAGTGAAGAATGAAGACACGGTCTTTGTTGTGCTGAGAGACCACAGTTTGATGGGCAGTGTGGGGGGGTGCAGGGCCAGGGGGCAGAGGAACAGCTCTGCAAGGGGACTGCTGGAGACTGCGGAAAGCTGGAGAGGCCCCATGAGCATCCTGTGGTCCTTCAGGTCCTCAGCAGTGCCCCATGACCCCTGTGCTGCACGGACCCCTGCGCTGCACGGACCCCTGCATTTGTGAGGAGAGGCAGAATACGAACTTATCTGGACTTCTCAGCTTAGCACCAGGAGAATCAGCTGCTCATTAAAAATAATTAAAAAAAAGAGACAAACTACAGAATAAAGAGGCTTTTTCAGGATATGGTGAAAAGAGTTTATTTGTTTATTTCTGCAGACAGCACAATTCAAGTTCAAATCTGGGCATTGCTCAGCAGATACCGGTGGGAAGAAGGCACCACAGTTGCTTTGAGCACATCGGGATGACAGGGAGGCAGCTCCAGCGGCTGCCCAGTATTTTGTGAGATGCTGGGAGGCATGCTGCCCCTCTCAGCCAAGATTTTGGGTGCAGTAATAAATGAACATGTTCTGATGAAGGTCAGAATGGCAGAAGGAAGCAAAGGAGATATGGCCTACAGGAAAATGAAGATCTTAAAGATCATCTGTGAAATTCAGGCTAGATAGACCCCCAATAGGAGCATCTGCAGACAGCTGTAGAAGGCAGCAAAATCTCTCACCACCCCGTTGCTACGGGGAAAGAGGAGCAAGCCACCAAGGGCCATGCAAAAGGAAAGCAAGTTACTGCCCATTTCAAGCAGCATGTGATGTGTCATAAACTCACTTGGTTCTCTCAGGGCAGAAGTACTGAGAGAACAAAAAAGATGAGATAATCTGGAAAAGGGGGTTGCTAAAGAATGGGGGATGTCACAATTGTAAAGCTCCTTGCAGGACACTGAGGGATATTGAGAGTTTTTGAAAACTAGAGATGATCATTTGTCCTACTACACTGGAAAGGATTCTTGCTTCTTTGACAAGCCCTCCTAGGATCACAGTACGTACGCAAGGCATGGCTTAGTGTGTGTAAAGCTTTACAGAAGTATGTTGTAGGGCTCTGTAGCCTGCTTTGATCTTGGTTTTAATTAGCACCATAAATGTAAGATACATGACTTTTCATCATGAAAATCAAAAAAGAGCTCTGGATTTTGGCTAGAAAGGAGGACCCAGAGGGCAGCTGTTCTGGGCCATCTCAGAGTCGCTAGCAACCATACAGAGGGAAGAAAATGAAACAGGTAATATCAAGGGTGAGTATACAGGTGAGAGGAGGACATGTGCACTCCCTTCATTTAACATATCCACCTAATGAACCTGTCGAAGAAGCTGGGCTGGGAGAGGCTGTCATAGTCCTTCTCCCGGAAGATGGCTGCTCGGTCCCCGAGGCCAAGCTTCAGCA